CCCTCCCTACCCCCAGCACCTCTCTATGGGCACTCCAAGAACTCAGCTCCTCCGTTTTCCTTCCTTCCTTCCTCCCTCTCTCTCTCTCTCTCTCTCTCTCTCTCTCTCTCTCTTTCTTCAGGTACGCCTCGGACGGTGAGTGGATTCGGCGAGTGCAGGGATGGCCCCAGGAAGTGTCTCGGCTCTGCCTGAGAGCGTTCGTGAGTGAAGCCTTCGACTCAGAGACAGAGAGGGTGGGGTTTGGGGGAGCTCTCTGAGGCCATCGGCTGGTTCCAGGACTTCTTGCAGAATCGTCCGGGCAACGCTCCTCCCGACGGCTACTTGCAGGAGCCTTTCACGTCCCGAGCGCACCACTCTCCAAACTCCTGCAAATCTCCATGGGAGGACCTCAGCGCCGGCAAGCGGCCCGGCGAGGGCAGCACGCTCATGGACCTGGCCCAAAGCCCAGCTCAGCTCTTGCGAAAACGGCCGGTTCCTGTTTGGGGGGAGGCCCTGGCTTCGGACGCCTTCCGCCGGACGGACCCCGTGGCGGACCTGCAGAAGCCAGCGGTCCCAGATTAACACAGATGCCTCTTGAGACAGCGTCCATGCAGGCTCAACCTGCGGTCGTCCCCACTCTGCTTTTTGAGGAACCTTCAGCGGCAGCCGGAGCTCGACCGTCAGCGCGAGACGGCGGAGAAGCGTTGAAAGAGCCTGAAAAAGAGGGGGCCGTCGCAAGGAGGGCCCACACACGATCGCTGGCGGACGCGTTTTTGCAGCCCCCAAGCTTCGTAAGCAAAGGATTTGGCTCCAGGTTGAATCTCTGAGACAAGCAGCTGTTCATGGTGCCTAAGGTCGGTGATGATGAAGCTCCGTAGAAAGAACTATAGCGACCCATGCGAAAGGGCCAGGTGCGAAAGAGAAGCCGATGATGCCTTTGTAGGATTTAGAAAAGGCTCGAGGATCGACTGACTTCGCTTTGCCGGACGCTTGGCCTTCGCCCATGGAGGCCGAGAGCGCAGCCTTTCCGAATGCCTGGAATGGTGCCGGTGCAGGCGACAGAGAGAAAGGCAAGGGCCAGAAGGGCCAAAAGGGCCAAAA